GGTTTTAGTGAATGTTTTGAATCAAGACATGCCAGATAGCTCCTAGTCACATTTTGGGAGATGCTGCTGATATTAATTAACATATTTATGATAATTGCAGATGAAATGGCGACAAGAAAACCCATGATCAGGCATCAAATGCTGACATTCCTTGTGAATAGGCTAGATTCATTTAAGTTGTGGAAATGTTATCTGACCTTCTTCTTCTGTCAATAGCTATTCATTGACACTGTCCACGCCAATTGAGATGCCAATTAACAAAATTATTAACACAATTAGGCTAATTACATCAATAATACAACAACAATAACAGAACCAGATAGTGATAATTATGGTGGCTTGCTCTCATCAGATCAATCATGGGCAAGTCAATTGTTATACTTCTGTGGTCAAGGGACACTACTACATTTAATTATTATGTTAATTAACACATAATCTGCTAAATGCAATATGCAGATAAGTTCACTGTTTTACAGTACCTGTGTACTGTCTGGAACAGTTCAGAATCTTCATCTTAAGTTTGCGAGTTTAGTTCTGAGAGCACTCCCTGTCGCAAGCACAGGTACCGTGGTGTGCATTCCAGACTGGCCTTCTTGCACTTGCACCTCTTGATGCAGCCCTTCTGGCATTTGCAGGAGATAAGCTCCCGGCAGACTCGGGGAGCATTGCCCAGAGAGGTTCGTACATGTCGCTGGTCTTGATCCAACCCCAGTCGGCTGGTGATGGCAATGTTGGTGCAGGAACCAGGGCCTGACCCCAAACATGTCCGCCCTGGTATATTGCTCGTCGGACGTGCTGCTTCAGGGCTGCACTTGTCGGTGGGATCAGCTGGACATTGCTCTTCTTTGCAAACAGTTTGCGGCGTGCCTTGTCGATATCGGTTGCGGTGCTTGCTCTGTCGTAAAGCAGGATGACGAACCTCTCGATGGTGTCCATGGCATCTTCATCAATATGATCTGGTGCAGTGGAGAGGTCAGTGAATGTCTGGGTCAGCTGAGGTAGAGCTGTCCACACTGCCCATGCTGTCCTCTTGCCACGTCTGGCGAAGCAGGAGATCGTGTCGCAGCCCGTCAAAGCATGAAACATCGGTAGTGCCTGTGCTTTCTCAGGGCACAGAGCCCGCGCCATCTCATGGGCTGCCAAGAACCGGAAAGCCTTGCCCGTGCCAAAGGACACCCACACTTCGGCTTCCTCCTCCAGGGTTCGTGCCAGAGCCACTGCCAGGACAACAACATCAGTGTCAACTGTGTGGATGAGGATCTTCTTGTGGATATTGTGAGCAGCGTGGGCGGCATGCAGCATCATGCGGCTGTCGGCTTCTTCGTGGTTGCAAGGAGCCAGGACTGCAGTATCTAGGAGCGGTGGCTTGCTCAAGACATCATCTCCTTTAGTGATGACCAGCTCCTTGTCCGCAAGCTTGAATGAGTCGTGAAGGACGCCAGAGTGGAAGCTGAACAGCTCTTTCTTGTTCTCGTCGACTCTGAGAAAGCTGGCCCAGTTCCCGGGGATCGTTGCACCACCCACCACCCGTCTTCTCACCCCTTTTCCGCGCTTGGCTCTTGCTGTACCCTTCAACGAGTCTGTATTGTAGCGGTCCCACACCAGGTCCAGTCGCGTTGCTTGATGGAGTTTTGAGAGTATGTAGGGCACAAAGACCTGCTGTGCAATGTGCATACTCGTTGAAGCTTTTTGCTGTAGCTGGCTTCAGCATCTGGATGATGACCACTCCATCTGCAGCTGGTTGGAGGAACCTCAGACTTGGGCTGACTGGACATTACATGGTGTAGCAAAGCCTATCATAGATTTTAGATCTGTATTAGTAGTATCCTAGATAATAATTATATGCTCTGAGCGCGAACGCGGTGGCAGGAGGGCGGACTTAATTCGGTTGCCAGTGAGTTCATCAGAAGAATACCTGGCTACAGTACACGTCAGTTGAGCGCTGTCGCTCTGCGGCACTTGTTTTAATAAATGTGATCATGCATGACGCGTCGCCTGTTGGCGTTGGGCGTGAGTACATTTGTGATAGATTTTTGAATGACGAAAATCTGCATCGAACTTAATGGAGGTGCGTGCCTATCTAACCATAATAATGCCGTTTGACAAATAATAGTCAAACATAGTCAAAGTAATTACGTTTAGTTCAAGAAATGTTGTGTGTAACCGTATAATGCATTATTAAAGATATTATAATACTCTAAAACGTATTTAACGTAGAGTGGAATTAATATAATTGCAGTACCTATACAGAACAACATTTACTGGATAAGATTGGTAAAGGTTTGGCCGTGAAATTCCCATCCTAAAGTCAATCATAAAGTCAGGTCCGTAGTGGCCGCCACGGCAGCACGCCACTGCCGTGGCACTATTTTGACCAAAAAAATTGTGCAGCGAACCAAGGAGCTACATATAAGAGGGGGTACAGGGGGCGGGTGTACGGGAGACGGGAGAGGAGGGGGCGGGGAGCGGGAGGATTGAGAAAAAGAGAGAGAGAGTATACTAAGTAGAGAAAAATAACAAAAATCCATAGCACGAGAAATAAATACATGAGAAAATACATTGTACAGGATAAATACATTTATCACGCAAACTGGTGCATTCGCGCGCAGAAGGGATATCAGTTATACATCAAATATGACATCCTCGCGCCATCTATCGGTAGAAATAATTTATATGCGCACATTGTATGTTGTGTGTAACCGTAAAATGCATTATTAAAGGTATTATAATACTCGAAAACGTATTTAACGTAGAGGGGAATTAATATAATTACAGTACCTATACAGAACAACATTTACTGGATAAGATTGATAAAGGTTTGGCCGTGAAATTGCTATCATACACTTCGATGTATGTATTTCAATAATGTAGCAGCGACTTTGATCAAATATGACATCCTCGCGCCATCTATCGGTAGCAACAATTCATATGCGCACACTGTATAACCGTGAAATGCATTTATAATACTCTAAAACGTATTTAAGGTAGAGTGGAATTAATACTAGTAGACGAGTTCTGCATTGATCATCATGTTATGGCCTGCCGCAGCTAGAGATACTAGAGGCGTCCCGCATAGGAGGCGTTGATCCGCCTAGCGTTTACGTGTACGTACATGTTACACTTAGCTGTCTGATCGGACCTAGGTACGTCGTTTTACTCTCTCATATCTCTTCCGTTTTGTGTGTGTGCGTGTGCGTGTGTGTGTGTGTTATCTCCTCAACTGACCTAGTCTGCTATTGCAATGATGATATGCTTTTTATATACCTAAAATTCCAGAGTGTTTGCTGGCCTCTATATGGATACGTGCGCCAGCCTTCGAATTTCGCGCACAGATCCATATAGTGGCCAGCGCGGTACACTTTCATAGGAGGTGCCCGCTGTTGCGTGCGCCTTGCCGCGGAACTGCACGCAAGATTCGCGCTCAGCGGGCATGATCAACGTTTCCCTTTGGCGACGCTTCTCTAGTATCCGGTCTCTTCTGGATACAATGTGCGCATATAAATTATTTCTACCGACAGATGGCACGAGGATGTCATATTTGATCAAAGTCGCTGCTACATTATTGAAATACATACATCGAAGTGTAGGATGGGTATTTCACGGCCAAACCTTTACCAATCTTCTCCAGTAAATGTTGTTCTGTATAGGTACTGTAATTATATTAATTCCACTCTACTTTAAATACGTTTTAGAGTATTATAATACATTTAATAATGCGTTTTACGGTTACACACAACATACAATGTGCGCATATGAATTATTTCTCCCGATAGATGGCGCGAAGATGTCATATTTAATCAAAATCGCTGTTACATTATTGAAGAGGGGAGGGTTACAGCGGGCGGGGGATATGGGAGACGGGAGTGGAGGGGACGGAAGACGGGAGAAAAGGGTGCGGGAGCGGGGAGCGGGGAGCGGGAGCAGGGAGGCCAGTGGGCGGGAGGATTTTCATTCAAAACAAACTATTATACTATGTTGTACGCGTGAGAGAGAGAGAGAGAGAGAGAGAGAGAGAGAGAGAGAGAGAGAGAGAGAGAAAGTATACTAAGTAGAGAAAAAGAAAAGAAATCCATAGCACGAGAAATAATTACATGAGAAAATACATTGTACAAGATTAATACATTTATTACGCAAACTGTCAGAGAAACCAAGTGACATTCAAAAAAGAAAATGCAAAATATAAAGGATCCTGGAGGTGTTGAGGGAGGGAGATAGGAGGACAGGGGAGGGAAGTGAGAGGAGAGGGGAGGGAGGCGGGAGGAAGACAACCCCCTGTACCCACTCCATATACCAAGGAGATGAAACGTCACTTGGATCTAAGCAAAGCAACATAACTAACAAAACTTCAAAACATACAGATGTACATAGTGAAAGTATAAATGCAGATTGAAAATAAGCTTATTTTTTATAATTATGTTAGTATATACAATTTTGTAAAAAATGTTTTATTAGTTATCATACTCATAATATATATTTGAGATACCATGGTACTTTAGCCAAAACATCAGTACATTCCTTTTTGAAATTTACAAATTGACCTTTTAAAATGATCAGAATTGGTTGCTTTCAACATAGCCTGAAAATGGAGGTAATGCCATTTCCAGGCTCTAAATTTCAAACATTTCTGGGTAGGGCCCCCCAGACCCCCTACATGGCCTTCGACTGCGCCGTTCGCCGTGTGTGCCTGCACACAGTGACACACCATATAAGTGCCACTTATGCTATTATTATTGGGTGATCCTACATTTTTCTGCAGTAGCACATTTTGGGAGGCCAATACAGCCCTGATAAAGTATTATATAGGATCCCTGCGGAAGATTATTTCTTTAGAGCTGTAATAATTTTCCCCGGGTTGTGATAGAGGGCGTACGGCTAGCCACTCATGTTCCATGGTAGACTGGTACTCGCTCCCACCTCGATGGGATCCCATCGAGTAACTAAGCCGAGAGGTGGGAGCAAGTACCAGTCTAGTTTTACGGAGTATAAATATCGTCGGCACGCCCACTAACGCTGCACCCAAAATGGCCGTCTTTTTGGAAGCCGGACAAAATTTTAGTGCTTGGTTTTGGAATCCAGGATTTTGGCTACCACCGAATGTAACATGGGAGGATATACGCAGCACAGACGAAGTCCGTTATGTAGAATTCAGTGATCTGTTAGCTTCTGTTCCACTAGCAGTGGGAGTATTGATGTTTCGCTATCTTTTTGAAAGGTTGGTACTGGTGGCGGCCATAGTTCGCTTTCCCTCGCTTTGTACACAGTGGCTTAGAATGCCAATGGCAATACTAATGATAAAAGCGATGTCCGTTATTTGGTATTCGTATATTATCTATTTTTAATTTATGACTGTGGTATTTTGAGTTGTTAGGAAATCGAATTAACATTTTATTACTTGGTGACTTATTCACGTAAAAATTGCAAATTCATCAACCATGAATTGATAACACCGGCGGGTTGCATTGATTAAGATACAGCCAGTACTCAGTAGCGGCGCAAATCCACTTTAGGCACCTTAGGTATCACGAAGTGATGCACAGAGTTATGTGTATCATCAACTGATGCACAGACTTTCCATATATCAAAGAATGATTCAAAAACCCTAACCCTAAGTCATAAAGTATACACAGTGGCTATATGCCCGGCAGCCGGCGTATATCTGACGGTAGATACAATAATGTAACCCAAACCCAAGAGGATAGGGTTACAACGCGAGCCTATACTTTTTTGCGGAGGAATGCCCGAGTGAATCACTCGGGCAGGTTTGCTGGTGTATTTTCAGAGACTAGAACTTCCAAACTGGGTTTATTTCACTACAACCCCCGCCTATCTGGAACTCCTATGTATCGGGCAATACTCTTGTAGAAACGAATAACCTGATAAAAGCAAGACGAGCGGCGAATAATCTGACGCCATTCTTTAGGACTGCTTGACGTACTCGGTGTAAGAGCGACCACGACGGCAATCGAGCGGCAGACGCCGTTTGCCGACGCTATGCGCATGGGAAATGCGTACGCACAGGCTCACAGAAATGCGCTCAGAAATCGCGACGCCTCACTTCGAATTTTTATAACAGATCTAGTTAATACCAGACGTATATGCATACCAAAAATTCCCAAATCGCGGAGAAAGTTGGTTGAGAATAAACCCCATGGAATTCTAAAGTTCTGAAAATACACCGCAAACCTGCACGAGTGGATCATCGGCCATCCCGAAAAAAGGTAAAAGGCTCCGGTACCCACCTCTGGTGGGTCTACATTATACAGATGCGACGGCTGCCGGTCACGCGTACGATGTTCTAAATCGCGGTCCTTTTCGAGTTTAATTTTATCGGTTACTCAAGTACAACAAGGTTAGGGTAGGAAGTAGGGTTAGGTTTAGGGCTCAAGTAGGCGTTTGCTTAGTTAAGGGAGCGTAGAGGTAGTAAAACGCCGGCATTAAAAACGAATATCGCGGTGGCCCTCGCCGGGCATTTTATAGCACACTTATTCGTAAAGTATCACTGCCTAGCTTAGTACACTAATGTGTAGGTAGCGGTTTCATACCTTGATATACGGAAAGTCCACACAGTTGATGAACACACGAACTGGCCATCACTCGTATACCTAAGGTGCCTAAAGTGGATTTGCACCCTCAGTAGCTACTAGTACTATATCATTAAACCGACCAGGCTCTCCGACTGTTACACGTCGTAGGAGCCTGACACCCTTCCATACGTAAAATTTCGTAAATAACACAATGTATTACCACATTTGACCTCACCTGTCACATGTTTGCAACTATCGCATCACTTCTTAATTACTATTTACCTCGAAATACACGTTAAAATAAGAGAATGTCGAACAGCTATACTATTTGAACGTTGTAAAACGCCATACTGGATGTTCTTATGTCTCTTTTTGTACTGTTTGTACCGGTTTGTACTTGTATTTTTCGCTACGTATGATGGGAAATCTATGGGAAAATGGCGGCGTTTTTTTTAGTTTTATCTTATCAATTTATAAATAACTAGCTGCGGGTACCCGCTGCGCTGGGTAAAATCGTGCTACTAATTCATAGTACTAATAATGGGACAGAATAAGAACATTGGGTAAAAATCGACAATAACCTTGCAGACAATATTAATATTAAGAAATGAGTGTAATAAGATAATAAGCATGGGGAAAACGAAAAAACTGTTACGTATGACATTTATATGACAGCACAACCGAACTTAGAACCCCTGGGACATAATAGTATTACGGTGTAAATGACAAAAAGTTATTATAAGAGCATGTAGGAATGCAGGGCTCGAAATTCAGAGGTAATCCGGTAATCCGTAGAGTAAATTACCGTACGGATTTGTTATGGATTTCATGAGGAAACCTGAAGGAAATCCGTACGGATTACTTAAAAATAACTTGCCGGTACAGTGCTCCTTCCACCTCAGCAACTTCTTAGTCAATTTTGTCTTAAAATCATTAAATGTACACAGAGGAGACAAATAGTCTGTGGTGGCAGAGCCATTATACAGCATTTCAATCAACTATCTGACAAATCTGTACAATAAAATGCTGAGCTCCCAACGCTAAAATAGCAATGTTTAACTTTAAGGTATTTTATTCAGGACGATTTGTCCTGCATGCAATTTTTTCTTTCATAGTAAAATTTAGCCTACTCTGTACGGATTACTTAGATTTTGAGCGGATTTGCTCATTTGTGAAGGAACAAATCCGTACGGATTAGTCCTCAAACTGGGGAAATTCGAGCCCTGGGAATGGGTTGGACTTTTCATTTGAAAGCCTCTTGATAAAGAATGTTTTTCGTCTTATTCTCTCGTGCAAATATGTAGAGATTCCTGGCGTCTCCAACTCTTGAGCTCCCCACGTACAGCTATCCATTGTGAGATCGTAGCATGAATAAAAGGAATATAATATCAGGAGCTATTAGCTGCTCATAGTATAGATAGAGACACGCAGCCATGCACATTGAAATGAAGAAATTTTCATACTGAATCGGAAACTGCATAGCGTTCAAATGGTACAATGCATTGTGAGATCGTAGCATCTGAACTGAACCTCTGAGCTGAGTGAGTAGTACCTCTGAACTGGTGAAACTGGTGCTGGTTGTGGTGTGTTTTAGTATTGGTTTCGGTTTCACAATACCAGCAGCCGGGTGAGGTGAGGTAATCGATTTTTCTCTGTGTGGCAGCACTATACAGTGAGTGCTGACATTGTGTGAAGTTTCACGAATTGACGGGTTTTTCACGGATTTTTCGGTGAGTTTGACGGTTTCACAGGTTTTTTTCATCTAGGAACACTCCCCGGGTATAAGAGATGGCCCTGTGAAAATTGCATCCAGATCGCTTGGGCGGTTTGGCCGCCTATAGGGAAGATACATACATACATACATACATACATACATACAAACTCAAATATATATTAGATTACTCGCTGACACATAAATACATGCTCAGTGATAGCGCACATATAATAAATCGAGGCGTGGAAGTACAGAGAAGCGGTAACAATCATAAAAAGTTAGATAATTTTACAATTAATAGCAGTGCACGTCATGCCGAACAATATTCTATTGCGTCGGCTTGTGACCCTCTCGCCAACGTAGTGTTAAGCGAGAAGGGAACTTGTGGCTACTATATCATGTGTAGTACATTAGTTGACCTTCCAAGCACAACTAATTGATTCACAAATAGCCAGACGCTATCACAAAGAATGATTAATTAATTCATAGATTGTCTGTGTCAAATGTAAATGACTATTGCAAATAGTTTCATTGGGGGTTTCCATAGGCCTACTAGTACTGTATTATTATTATAGCCTTACAACACCCGTGGTTGTAACATTATACAAACAACAAGGTACTTGTAACTACAACATGGGTGTGATAGCGTGTGCTCTCCCAAGGCTCCCAGCCATCCAGGAAATCAGGGAAAACCTGAAAAATTAGTCCCTTTTTCCAGTCAGGGAAAGTAAGGAAATTTGATTGGCCCAAAAGAGAGAAAAAAAAAAAATTTAATCATTCCGAGTTGTAATCACAAAGAAATATCCATTTATACATCGGCTATCGTGGCAGAAATCGAAACGGAGAAATCCGTGTTTTTTCTATTTTTAACAATGATCGACCGCCTGTGTGCAAAATTGGTGAACGTATGTGAAACATCTACTGTTAGTAGTTATTGTGACATATCCATGACTAGCTGGCACCACTAAATTGGTAAAATGTTCTAGATGCACCTTGAGAAATTGTGAGAAATTACGAGGTTACCATCGCACTTTCATGCAAAATGCGGGTACGATGTGTACTGCGTGCCGTTGCTAAGCTATATGTCAACAAACGCGTGCAAAAATGTGAGGTATGTAGATAAAAGGGGCTATTTTCGGTCGCACAGCAATTTCAACTATCACTGGCAGATGACAGCTGTAGAAGGGTTGATGCTGAATGATACTGGCTTAGTGAATACCCTGAAAATGCTGGTTGTATCATGTCTCTGACGTCAGCCGCGGCTCACTACATGTGTACGCGGGCAATCAAAACGCTCTGAAATTTCACATGTATCGTTATATGGAGAAATGATTATGTATTGAGGTGGCACATATTGTTAACTATTGTATAAGAATGAAAATGAAAAATCAGTAAAATTTTGCCTAAAACCTGTAGAGTAACCTGAAGTATTGGTAAAATTTGGTGTGGATTATTCCTTTTTCATTAGGAATAGTTTATGGTGAAGTGACTGTACTTGTGTGTATTGATCTTAGAAGCATTCTTACTAACTGTGGAAAAATGCCTGTCCCATGATGATGTTGGTATTCAAACGAAAGTGTTTTATTCAGAACCCAGTGGATATAATTATAGTATATATATATACGAAAGCAATGGCGCGGATCAACGTAGAGAGGCTAGAAATTTAGTGGTGGTACACACCTAAATCCTAAATGCTGCACAGTTGATCTACTTTTTTATGCAAGGCTTGGTGACCGGAAACACTAGGCAAACAGATTCTTTAGCACACACTATGCATTTTTCTTCTTTATCAGCATTCAGAATTTCACCATTACTCGCACTCGCATATATTGGCTATTGCTGCCACTGATCAATGCAAAATCCTCATTTGAGTGGGTGCCGTATATCGTTACAGTGAACTATATTAGGCCTCGCATAGAATTTTGTGTTTGCTGTTTTTATTGTGATGACATAGTACTAATGGAGTGGATTTTAAGCATATTTCGTTCCAGAATATGTCATACAAGATTGCTATATAACCTCGAAAAATACTTTTTTTGTGGACTTTGTACCGCTAGTTGTTTTATTGATTGATGTACATGTATGGAAAATCGCAGCTCTTTTGTTAGTTCTAGTAACTCCATCAGTATTTCGTTCAGCACTTCAAGTTCTACACATGTTTATGTAATAGGAGTAAATGTAGAGGCATGCAGTAATCTGCAGCATATTAATCTGCCAATGTTTAAAGGTTATTTTTTATGGCTACATTACACCAAAATATCTGAGATCTTACGTTGTTTATAAGTGTATAACCATAGCTCCAAAATCATATTAGTTCGTCCGATTTCACTGTTCGTTACTATTTAGCTCAGCTGACGAAGTCGGATGCAGCTTGTAGAATCGCATGAGCGTCCGTCCGTCCGCCCGTCAACAGTTGGGCACAAATCTTAACCGCTCAACGTACGGTCACGATATTCGGGACGTCGGGGGGGGGGGGCGCAAAAAGGACGTGGGATGTCGAATTTTGGGGTTAAAGGTCAAGGTGTGTCAATGGAGGGGGAATATTTCCCCCTTAACTTAAGGTATAGGAGGAAATACGGAATTGCGGGCACAAATCTCAACGGCTTGACCTACGCTCTTAATATTCAATGTTATAGTGTGATGGGGAGAAACCCATCACCAGCGCGAAATTGGAGGTCACAGGTCAAAGGGCAGTGGGGGAAAGGTCAGATATCAGACATTTTCTGAGGACATGGTCTAACGGACCGAGGGGAAAACTTTTTTGGTTCAGCGCTGTCGCTATGCGGCACTTGTATTGAAAGGACCATGAAATGTGCTTTGCGCTGACGTGCAAAGAGTAAAATGTCTGATAACCTTTTGACCCTCAAGAGGAGGGGTAAACACGGATTTGTTGACTGTTAACAAAGGACTGAACTGCTTTTGCTATTAGAGCCCCCCCCCTCCCACCACCACCACTACGCTCGTGCTCGAGGCATATCCATGATAACATGTAATATAGTGAAGTCATTAAAGTTACACAGCTGTATCTTTATTACTGTACTACCGGTATAGCAAAGCCTATCAGTATCATAGATTTTAGATCTGTATTAGTGGTATCCTAGATATGTATGCTCTGAGCGCGAACGCGGTGGCGGGAGGGCGCGCTTGATTCGGTTGCCAGTGAGTTTATCAGAAGAATATTCGGCTACAGTACACGTCAGTTGAGCGCTGTCGCTCTGCGGCACTTGTTTTAAAAATAGTTATTGAAATTTAAAAAATTGTCTGCATTTATCAGCAGTTGCAGTTTCGCACACGTTGTGCTGTATGCGTGCCCAGCTTGTCACTTATCAGAACATATGGGACACATTTCTTTGCTAAACATTTACTATTGCTACACCCAAAGATTCAAGACCCCGTTGCGATTTGGCCAGCCTTTAAGGATTGTTGTTGTCAGAGGAAAAAGTAAAATGCCAGTACATTCTTACACACTGCCTTAGTTAAAGGAATAATAGGTCCATTGATTATACAATGTTGACGAATGCTAGAGTAACGGGCACCTTGTGTAGTTAATAAGTACATTACCTTATAGCCAAACGCGTATTAGTTTGTCCAATATACTGCTGGTTACTAAGAAATGTCTAATTGAAATCCGCAGTCCAAAAATCTGTTGTTTACAGTTTCAACCCACTGCCGGCGAAGCGGGTGCACCGGACATTTTCGCACGCATGCTCGGCCGTACGCAATGCTATCATCAGTGATTTCGTAAACATGGACGCTCGTGATAAGGAACTTTTTTTTCAGGGCTGTCCACGTGCGTCCGTGATTAGTACGTGTGTTTTACTCTATTTCCATGTTTAGTTCGTGGCCGTGGTTACACCGCTGACGCCTCCGTTTCATCTGGCGTCCAAAACATACGGGCCGCACAAATGTTTACGTCATCGCTTGACTCTGGATGACATTTACGGCACGTAAATGATACGTTGATACATATCAACAACCGATTTCAAGTCTTGTTTGTAATGTAACCAGCAGTGATATTGGATAAACTAATACGTGTTTGGCTAGTATAAGGTAATGTACTTATTAACTACACAAGGTGTCAGCTACTCTAGCATTCGTCAACATTGCATAAATCAATGGACCTATTATTCCTTTAAGGCGAGGTTGCAGAGTGGTTGCCTGACTGTCATTATCATCAAGAGTAGATAATAACACATGTGTTATTATCTACTCTTGTTATCATAGAGGGAATTTCTTTTGGATTTGGCATTTATCCAGGCTAAATTTTATATTCTCAACAGCAATGTTTTATTTCCTGCTATTGGATCTAGGAACATTAATGGTATTTAGTGTTGGTCATTAAATCAACCAATCAGATACAACTTATTTTTTCTCAGCCAATCATAGGCATGGAACATATATGAACATTGGACAATATGAACAATGGAATATATGATAGTCACTAAATTGAATATATGATGGACATTAATTCGAATTTGTGACTGTCACTAAATACCATTTGTGTCTATCATTAAATCATTTAGTGTTTGTCAATAATTCCATGCCTATGATTGGCTGAGAAAAAATAAGTTGTATCTGATTGATTGATTTAATGACTGTCACTAAATGGAATATATGACAGTCACTAAATGGAATATATGACAGTCACTAAATAGAATATATGAAAGACATTAATTTGAATTTGTGACTGTCACTAAATACCATTTGTGTCTATCATTAAATCATTTAGTGTTTGTCAATAATTCCATGCCTATGATTGGCTGAGGAAAAAATAAGTGGTATCTGATTGGTTGATTTAATGACTCACTAAATTGAATATATGATAGTCACTAAATACCATTTGTGTCCCACCTCGCCTGCAATGCACGTTCTTTTCCTGAATGCTTAAAGCAGGGTTCCTTCTACATAGGAGGCACTGCGGTGCACCGCCGTTGTCAAATTTTACAACGCCATTGTGAAAATGTTCATGTATTTACCTGCCGAGTGTCAATAATAGTGTCAATCCAAAAATAAATAGATCACCACGTGCTTCTGACTATATATACATGGTAAATCGTAATGAAATTCACAGCAACGTTTCTTTTTGTGTGCCGGCACACTCGTGTGTCATTCCTGATTGCAGCTTTTTTACTCTATTCCGGGAAAGTTTTGCTGTCGCTCCCTGATCTACATATACAATAATAAGCATGCCCACGCGACTGTAAAGGGCCGGACACACTAGGCAATTTTATCGGGTGACTCAGTCAGGCGACTCGATCGCTGGTGAAAATCGCCTAATGTGTCCAGCCAGTCGCCGCCGATTTAGTCGCCCGATTCAATCGCATCGATCAAAACGTTTTGATATTATCGGGCGATTATTTCAGTCGCGCGACTCAATCGCCTAGTGTGTCCATGTCAGCGATTTAGTTGCCCGATTGTACAATTCATCAGCCAATCAGAGTTGTTCAATGATACTGGTTAGGCGGCGTTACTATGTGGATGTTTACGTGGTAGCGGTAGTGCGCGGTAGGTGGCGGTAGGTGGCGGTAGAAACTCGTCGTCAAAAATCGCGTGATGTGTCCACTCGACTCGCCCGATAGAATCGGGCGATATTATTGGGCGATAAAGTCGCCCGATTACATCGCATTAAAATCGCCTAGTGTGTCCGGTCCTTAACAATTAGTGCATTCGCCGCCCCCCCCCCCCGTACTTTAATCAATGCCGCCCCAGCAAGCAAGCACATACGCAGCCACGATGTGCACACCCACAGACCTGGGTAACAGGTGTCGCGGGCTGGTTTTTTTCGTTTTTTTTCTGGAGAATGGGTCCAGATGCGTGAGTCTCCCGCGAAATGCGTGAGACTTGGTAGGTCTGCTAACAGAGTAAGATTTAAACTAAAAGGTGAACTTTTATTTTCAGGGTACCTCAAATGCAGTCTAAGACATTCAAATTTTTAAAATTTTGCTGGGGGAGACCCCCAGAACCCCCATCTAACTCTCTCCCCCCACGTCTGCCTGCAGAATCCACATTCGTGCCTACTGCGCGCCTTTGAATCCATCATGCGCGTTTTTCCCCCAAACTGGCCATTACTGCTGTTGTCTAATTTTCCCTCAGAAGAAACCCTGTTAAAGTGTATTATACTAATAGGTTTAGTAAAATGTCTTTTCATGCTTTCACAGGGGCGACACCAGTCACTACGTATTTCAGTCTTGCCATGGGTTCTCTTTCAGAATTGTTGCTGCACCCATCGGTCAATATTTCAATCTTAAGGACACGAGACCTCGGCCGGCCGCACCTAACCCTGTCCTGGAGGAGGCATACCGACACGCATGCAAGCCCAGCCACCGAGTGGTGACCGGCCTGGCCAAGCAGCTGGACGTGACGGAGCGACACATCGAGCGGTGGTTCCGACAGCGACGGAACCAGGACAGGCCGAGCGTACTGCGCAAGTTCACAGAGAGCTGGTACGTGCGCGCTGCATGCGCTCGTCTAGCTTACGGTTGACTCGCCCGTTATGTCGTGTGATCAAATGTGAGCATCCTAGTTGAAGCCTGTCCCGGACCGGTTCGTGAAATTTGTTCAGTGTCTCTCACTGTATTATCTATATCTTGTAGTCGATCCTACACATAATCTGTAGCCACCATTAACAGTGAACTGTTAGTGTTACACAGTTGTTGAGTAGTAGAAGGGGAAATGTAGATTTTCAGTTGCTCAAAGGTGTTTCTGTCAATCCATAATCAGGGCTCTGGATGTTTTAAAGTTTGAGCCAAGACTTAATCCACCAAAGTTATTTTTTAGCCACCAATGAAAAACTATGGCCACTGTTCACTTTATCATATGTTCTAAGCAAGGCGTAACCCAGTGATGCCATGGGTATGGGAAAAGAGGTGTACGAAGGCATTTTTAATAAAGTAGTCAAGTAAAACTAAAATAATGTAATTTAGTCTTGCTCATAATGTAAGGCTTATAATTGAAAGTGACTTGACTAGCTGCAAATTCTGATTTTGCTTCTACCAGAGAGCACAGTTGTGGTTATGTCAAAACTACATAGATTGAATATTCTTTGTTTCACATTTACAAAGTACAACTGTTACACTGTACAATACTTACGGAATATTTGTGATTTTTGCAGTTGGAGGTTTCTTTACTATTTGAGTGCCTTTGTATATGGAGTATGCATTCTCTGGAATGTAAGTATGTACAGCTATGATAGGAAAGAAGTTGCAATCGATAAGTACAGTGTAAGTGTGCAAAGTAGGAAAGAGGCATTGTTCTACAAGCCACTTCACAGTTGGTTGCTTTCGACTGAAGTAGATGGTAGAGAAGTCTCCATTGGATGTCTCCCACAGATACAAGTGATAAAGTGATTGAAAGCGTTTATACAAGTGATAAGCATCTCGTTTATCAGTGTATCCCATGCACTTTAAAATGATGCCATGGCTATATACTAGCTATGTAACGGATAGTATATAACAAAAGTTCAGCTCGCTATTTAATTGTTTTTTTTGTGTGAGAAGTAAAATATCACCGATTCAGAAACATTTTGAACAGTGTTTAATTTAATTGAGTTTGAAAAAACGTTCATTTACGATTATGATAAGCATCACAGATGCACTCATGCAACAACAAAATCTTCACCAAAGATTATTGCAAATTTGGAGTATTTTATCACAATAATTATATATATATGTTATCTTAAGTTTTACTTGTCAACATTGATATAGCAAATGAGCAGCAATGAACTTTAGCAGTGCTTTATCGATATGCGTTATAGATAGTGAAGTCACGATCATTGATTATACTCGATCATCGGTTGAACAGTGGCTCGAACCAAGCGCTTGGTTATCAAAATCAATAATCGATTTCATCGGGAAAAAAAAGAAGAGAAAAATCGAAAATAAATGTAAAACTTGAACAAGAAAACTTGGAAAACTGATGAGAATCAGAGATATCATCGCTATTTTAGTTCGGGAATCACCCGAGATTCGCCGGAGTTCCTTCCTGTTGAGGAGCTAAAGTCTAGGACACACTAGGGATTTTATAATTATAAACAAGCACATACATGCACACACGTACATGCACACGCAGGCATTCAACAACCCGAGTAACCAATTGTAACCGATCATCGGTTACTGGGGTCCAACCGATGATCGATTACGAAATTACAACCGATTGACAACACTAGTTATAGATGAAATTTATGATAGGCCTAGGACATTATTCATCCATATTGGTGTTCGTATAGTTGCGTCTGTGATGCAATCTTAAGTTGGATAGCATTACCTGAACTCTACATTGCATTGTGCAATGCGATGCTGCTGATTTTGTGCACTGCGTATACCTATATTGATAGATCTGATAAAGCAGTTCTGTTATCTTTTAAACTACAGTTGGCTAGGGCTGCAACGATTCATCGTGGTGCATCGTGAATCACGATTCAAGCGGCCGATTCGATTCACGATTCAAAATCTCTCATTTTCTATTCGATTCGATTTGAGTAGGCAATTTGGATACTAATTTGTTCTACCCCATTTTGTCTAAGTCTGCGAGGCAGTGCCTTGGAGTACCAGCTACAAGTGTGGCAAGCGAGAGAGTGTTCTCCACGGCTGGAGACAGCACACCGAGCATGCCTGTCCAGTGAAAATGTGGACATGCTTGTGTGCTTGTCAAAAAACATGATCATTCCTGATGATGTGGTAGTTCACATGTAGTGAGTCGTGACTGTGAAAGTTTTAAAAAATTTGTACTAAATTGAAAAACACTTTTTTCTAACTTATATTTCAAGTTCTAGTCAAGAAGCGACAATACTTTTACGTTTTTTTTGTTTCTGTGATAGACACTGAAAGTCAGGGATTACTTGTTACCTGAAATTCTCATTGTGATTAAAATAATATACATATCAAACAGTCTTGCCTTGCTTTCATGAATCGAATCGAAATTAATCGAATCGCAGACTTTGAATCGTAAATCGAATCGAATCGAAACCTTGGCGCATCGTTGCAGCCCTACAGTTGGGGCACATGTTAAACACGTACTGTTGGCATATCACGGTTCAGGTTTGTGATCTGTGCTTTATACATAATATTAATCTCATCTTATATAAGGTTAGATAACTACATAATTATTTCTGTAGCTATTACTAATTGTGTGCTATTTAATTCCAGAAACCATGGTTTTGGGACACAACACATTGTTGGATCAACTTTCCATTCCAGGTGATTATTGTTGCTGTATTTTTAGCTCATCTGACATCTGACATAGTCAGATGCAGCTTGTAGAATCGCTTGATCGTGCCGTGCGGTCCTCCGTCCGTCCGTTGACCCGCGTCGCTTCAACAGTTGGGCCACAAATCTTAACCGCTCGACGTACGGTCACGATATTCGGGACGTGGGGTAATCAGAAAACGAGTTGGATGTCGAAGCTGGGGCAACAAGTCAAAGGTCAAGAGGTGTAAAAGAAGGGAACATTCACTCCTTAACTAAGGTATAGGAGGAAATGCAGAATTGCGGCACAAATCTAAACGGCTCGACCTAGGCTCGTGATAGTCGGTTGTATAGCATGCATGGTAGTAAACCATCACTGTGCCGAAATGGAGGTCACAGGCAAAGGTCAATGCACAGGGCAGATAGACATTTTCTGAGGACATTGCTGACGGAGCGATGGAAAACTTTTTTGTTCTCAGCGTGACCTAGGCATTTTAGTGGCTTTATTGAAAGGACCATGAAAGTCCCGTTCTGCTGACATGCGAAGAGTAAGTGTCGGATAACCTTTTGACCGCTCAAAGGAGGTTAAACATGGATTTTTTACTGCCTGTTAGAAAGAATTTGACTGCCGGTTTGCTAGTAGAATCTAATAACATGCCTGGATGACATAGGCTACAATGTCACAGTGAAATTTCAAAAGCAAATTTGTTGACATAAGTTATCTCCTTAAATCGTATAATTTATATGGCATCTGTACTGTCAGTATGTTACATGTAACGATGCCACTGCCAGTGGCTACTGCCAGTGCATGTTGTTGCTACTGTAGAGTTTTTGCCTTAATTGGTTACAGGTGGCAGATCTCTATTGCGCAGCCTGTAGGCTTGTGTAGGTAAACAGATTAGTGCTTACCTATTCTGTCTTGCAGATATTGTTGCTACTAAGTATGATGGAGCTTCCATCTTTAATCTGAAAGACACTTAAACGTACCGCCCACTCTCGTGCAACTCATAATGTACCCAACGAACATTCTTTTGAGAAGGTTCCTGATACATCCCTGTGCATTCCACTGTTTCGGCATAATGAACACATTTGGGACTAACAGGGTTTACTAGAAACCCACCACTCCACCACAGAGTCACCGCAGTAGACGTTAGATGAGCCTGTCGCTGCTGCGCACCTTGTATAGTGTTAGTGTCACAGTCAGTTATGCGAAAAAAGCTGCACAAGAAGTTTATCAAATACATTCACACACTAAAGTGCATTGGGCAAGGTCATAGCATGAAAGAATTTTAAGAAAATAACATTGGTCTCTGTTACCTGCCGCAGATTGTTATCATATGTTATCCCAGCTGATTAGCTGCAAGGACTAGTCCTATTTACCCTTATATGACCTTGTTTTTAGCTCATCTGACATAGTCAGATGCCAGCTTGTAGAATCGCTTGTCCGTGACCGTCCGTGTGCGTCCCTGCGGCCTGTCAAAGTTGGGCACAAATCTTAACCGCCTCCGACTAATACGGCACGGATAATCGCACATTGGGGGGGGATCGCAAAACCGAGAATTTTTTTTTTTTTTATTTTCTTTTTGGGATTCGAAGCTAAAGGGCAAAGTCAAAGTCAAGAGGTGTCAAAAAGTAGGCGCACATCACTCCTAACCATAAGGTATGAGACAAGCAAATGCGGCACAAATCCAAACGGCTCGACTAGGCCGGATAGTGTGATAGCATCAATGGTAGCGAAAAGCCATCACTGGCCGCAATTGGAGTCAACAGTCAAAGGTCAAAATCTGGCACGAGGCAATTTTAGAGACATTTTCGGAGGCCCCATGGCTCGACGCAGGCATAGAAAAACTTTTTTTCAAGCCGGTGACCTAGCAATTTTGTATGGCATATGCAAAAGGACCATAAATCTACTCTGCCCGCGACATGCGAAGAGGTAATTCAATAACCTTGACCCTCCAAAGGAGGTAAAACTGGATTGGTGACTGCTGTTAGAAAGAAATTTGACTGCCCGGTTCTAAAATCTATACAAATGCCTGATATGAGCTACCAGAGTCACAGTGAAATTCCAAAAACGCTAAATTGGTTAAAAAAGTTAATGTCCTATAAATCCGTAATTTCATAGAATTCTGTGACTGTCAGTATGTTACATGTAACGTGTCCATGCCCAGTGGCCTCCCAGTGCATCGTGTTGGTGCAGTTTTGCCTGGCGTTAATTGGTTACAGGTGGCAGCTCTCTATGCCATTGCAGCCTGTAGGCTTGCTTAGGTTAAATGGATGAGTGCTACCTTATTCTGTCTTGCAAATAGTTTTGCCTACTATTACGCTATGAGAGCTTCCATCTCGTTTAATCTGAAGAACTTAAACGTACGCCCATCTCGTGGCACCTTACATAACGATCCCAACGACATTTTGAGAAGGTTCCTGATACCGATCCTGTGCATTCCACTTTTCGGCGTGTATGTGAACACATTTTGGGGACTGAACAGGTGTACTAGAAATCCCACACTCCACCACAGAGTCACCGCAGTAACTTAAGAACGCTGTCGCTCCGCGGCACTTGTTTGTGGAACTGATAGGATACTGATAACGTTGCTAGCCAGTGTACTAAAAGATGTCTAGTTCATTTTATGGGTAAGGAGCTTGTACTCTTTAATTAGCTGTATACTATAATATGGTGCATTAGATTATAATAAGGTTAGTGGCTGTCATAAACATCCCTTCTATTATTATTATTATTATTTCGTTTAGCAACCGGTTTTTTTCATTTTACTGTTATTAAAACTGCTATTCATCCACGTCCACATAACAATATTAACTTTCTTACCTGCACATTGTAATTTCCTAACTTATATCAGAAACCTTTGAGACTATAATCTATGCCATATTTGGAGAAAAACACACGATGTCAATAAGGATAGTTGGAATGTTTGAAAGCTGATAATATAAATAATATACACACAAAATCCAACAGTGGCTGCTGTGGCAAAAGTTGTAGGAATGTACATCGTTTAATTTGCCTAAACCGTTCAGTGGCTTTAGGATTGATGAATACTGGTTTAATTCAAGTTGAATGTATTTACACATTGAGAAATCACAACGTTAACTCGAATCACTATCTCTTGTGTGAAATTTGTGGTTGATGTTATAATTATATATGGAAATAATAACAACTTTTAGGATGTCTGCGACGTTCAAAACAAAATACAAGCTTTTTAATTGTTTAGTGAGAGATGTTGTGCAGCAGACACATCTAACTAAGTAGAACTGGTGGTGGTGCCTATATCATTCATTGTGCATTTTATTATCTGAAATATCTTATTTGAGAAAATAAGAATAACTATGCTTGATAGATTACAGATAATATTAAACTCACGAGTCAACGTTTGTAATCAAGTCCCTATTTTTGCAGCCTCTTCTTCCAGAAGTTTACTGGTTCTACATGATAGAGATGTCATTCTACTTATCACTCACATTCTCCCAGTTTCTGGATGTTAAACGGAAGGTATGACCGACTTAATGTTATGAGTTACATTGCTCTGGTCTTGCAGCCAGTATAGCAATGACAGAAATAGTTACTGTTTTTTTTTTAGTTGTTGGCAGTCCAATTTTGACACTTTTATTTTCATGCGTTTACTGATTGTAGGTTGCTAGGCATATGTTTTATCCATGTAGGTGTGAGCGTGAGTGTGTATAGGTGTACTCACGGCTTTCGTGTAGCTGGTCGCTCATAGCTGCCCTGCCAGGGCTTTTATTGCACACAATACAACAGTGCTGTGAATTTGTTCCATGTGCGCAGTGCTGTATGTGTTAATACATGACAGGTGTGAGTGTGTTGGTGTGTTGAGTAGTTCCCACATATTATAAATAATTAAAATTTATTTCACTACGCTTTGGATATTGCTGACAAGGTGTAATTTGGACATTCAAATTATTCATGGTGTAATTTGGACATTCTTCAGGGTGAATCACTGAGACGTGTAGTTTCTATGGAAGTGTACAGCGATTGTTGTGTTTGATAATGTCATGGTAGCTTTCAAAAATGAAAAATGAGGTTAGTTTCGCATTATGTTTGAGGAAATATGCTGAGTAAGCATTATAAGGTTTATTGGTGATATTATCCCTTTATAGCAATCATAAATTATATTTGAGCTCTCTATCACGAGAAAATGTATTTCGTCCAATTTGATTGCAAACTACAGAATAGGTTAGTGCTAAGGTTTTTGTATGTGGAGTAGCCAGTGTTTTGGAGAATACGGGATAATTTTACTTACATGGGAGGTTTTCTGGCACTATGTTGTGAGATTGTGATTTGATTATCATCCGTCTGCCAAATATTCGTACTACTACTGAAATTGCATTATAATTACATTTGCCCCAATATAAAAAAGCAAATGGTGCTTCCAGTGCTTTAATCTCTTGTGCATGCTGTGCTGTATAGGAAGTAACTTCCATAGGTAATGGTTGTTGCCAGGCTAGGAGTGTGTAAATGTTTTGAACTGCTACTATGTTGTATTCACTTGGTGAGAGCACACGTGTGGTATTTTATCATTATATTGCACATAATAATTAAATGTATTATATCTAGGTAATAAAATAATTCAGTAGAAGTAGCATTTTATATTCAGGTTCAGTAAATTGGGTGCCTGGGGGAGGGCATTTTTAGAAAGATCATCGGTAATTATGACTGTCATAAGTCTAAATTGTAATGTTATGTTATGGATGTTTTGCGGAGTGAATCTATGCACGTCTACATGTACGTATGCAAACTACACATATACATAATGATACGATACCTGCTTTCTTTCAGGATTTCTGGCAAATGTTTGTACATCACATGTGTACACTGATGCTGTTGACATTCTCCTGGGGCGGAAACATGATTCGTGTTGGCACACTTGTCTTGGTCATACATGACGCAGTAGATTTCTGGATGGAGGTAGTTACCTGTAGTGTTCAGTTGTTATAATGCATTGTCTGTCACGAGTCATTACTTTAGTCTAGCGCAGACTTGCGACTTTTGGTTGCTCTTGCTGCAACCTGCAACCGCATGCGATCGGTCGCACGCTTCATTGTGTGTGCGCATGCTAGCGACTGCTGTTCTTTCCATTCTCTTTCCATTGTCTTTCCATTACTTAGATTACCCGCACACATGCGATTTCGAAGCGATTGTGAGCGACGAGTTGCTGAAAATCAAACCCGTTTGATTTCTTGGAACTCGTTGCAAGCGACCAAAATCACTACGAGTTGCAGTTGCACGTTCCCACAGACTTGCGACTTTTTCATGCAACTCGGCTGCGATTCTAGTCTGCGCTAGGCTTTATAGTTGTATCTCTAAATTCTGCTTATTGGTAATGCAGCAGTGATACGTAATAGTACTGCATTTGTGCATCTGTACGGTCAAGCATTTAAATAGATAGCTGCCTTTCTGAGCTAGTGAGGCTTAGGCCATATAAATAATAAAAATATTGTTTGTTTGCTCTCACCCGACCGACCCGCCAAAAAGGGACTGACGCAAAAAAAATTATTGATCTTTCCCATTCTTTTTTTTTTACAAATTGTATCACTACATTATATAAATCTGTAAGCAATACATTATATGTACTAAGCAAAACAAACATTCAACATAAAAGGTATCTCCACACAAGCACACCCGCGCATGTAGACACCATGCTGAATTTGTAAAAAGACCCTTCTCAAAAAAAAGAAAAAACCCTCCCTACCTACCCAAACTTTTCAGCCTTGGTCGGGTGAGGGCAAACAAAAAAATTTTAATTGTAGCCTTATCCTGTGTGATATGTACAGACCTTGGCAGAAGCATAGCGCATGCTTTAGTGCTATATGGCTGTTTTGGGTTTCACTAGTATTAGGCAGCTGGACATCCATCATAGCTGACCAGGTCTAGAAATTTTAATATCACAGTAATTTACGCGTGCTTTCGGTTAGTTAGAGAATTGATGACAACAGTTAGTGGCAGCGAGTTGCATGCGTGTACCTTGTCGTGTTTTAGGCAGCAAAGATGGCGAAGTACTGCCGCCTGCATCGGCTGTGCGATCTCTTGTTCATCATATTTACGGTGATGTGGTTCTTGACACGGTTAGTCATCTTTCCCTACAGGTGAGTATCTAGTTATAACTGAAACAAAAATGCAGATCTAGGGAAACAATAATACACGGTTAAATTTAATGTAAAGGTCTATTAAATGCAGTGCCCATGGCTAAACATTAGGATGTATTTACAACAGACTTGACCCACTTTAAATTACATTGCTAATGACTAACCAATTCGTGATTTTATGTACAACAAGTATAATCCGTATGTTAGAAGAGATTATTGAAAAGTTAATTTTGTGCAGGCTCTCATGAATAAACGATACTCCAGCACATTGTTGACAATAATTATTTATTTAATATTTATTTGAAAGATGGGAATATGTAGAAAGCCTATTGATTGTATTTTAAAATGGTTAATCATCAGATTATGCTATAAATGTTGGTCCTTTGCAGGTGTGGCAGTCTCTGGTTTTATGCCTCAAAATAGACATTAGGCTCGTTCAGACGAGACCTTGTATTTATTAAATACCGAATCTGAGACAAATACGCGGCCGAGCGTTCACACGCTGATTCGCGGCTCCAGAAATACGGTATTTGCGAAATACCGAATCTGAGACAAATACGCGGCCGAGCGTTCACACGCTGATTCGCGGCTCCAGAAATGCCGTATTTGCGAGCTACGAGCTGCTTTAGTAACAATCAAGCGAACAATGCGAAATAAACAATTCAATGCGCACCAACTGCCGATAAAATACGTAGACTGGTCCGCGCTCGACAGTTCCACTTGCGTTACACTGGAACTGTCGAGCGCGGAGCAGTCTATAAAATACGCGGCTTCAGAAATACGGTATTTAGCGTTCACACGAGGAAATGCGCGGTGCAAGTGATCCGGTATTTCTCAAGCACGGCAAAATATTTGGGGTCTGGGAAGCCTCGTATTTACATGAAATACCGGATCTGTTTAGATACCGTATTTCTTGGACCGCGCATTTTGCCTCGTGTGAACGCTAAATACCGAATTTCTTGCTACGTGTGAAGTGTGAACGCGGCTATTGTTGTGTTAGTTCATACTATAGTAGAAATACGATACGATAGTAATACACGTGCGTGACTATGCTGAAGGGTTGCGCTGCATAGCTGCACCCATTTGTGTAATTTTACGCGATTATTAAGTGTTTTATTTGTGTTTGTTATAAACAAGTACTTTTATGAACACCCAAGGTACAGGCAAAAAACATTGTAAGTGAATTACAAGCGATAGTTTGTGAACATTTTGGCCTGCAAAATTGGGATTTCTTAGCAAATCTGCTACAGTTCTTCAGCGTCACAATATGGCTGCCCGGTACACAAGTGCAATGCTACGCTCAATCGACCGTGAAGTTTCTGCCATCGACAAATCAAGTCTAAACAGTGCTGTATGGACGAGAATAAAGTCACTACAGCTGTGCAAGAAATCAAAGATGAGACAGCGAGGAACAAGGGCGGGCAGAAATTACCGTCGGCCAATTAAACCCCTCATCAATGCTACACGACGGCCAGTCGGACGTCAGCCGGATAACAATTATTCGAACTTGAACGGTATTCATCCGTATGAGTTTATTTCACCAGTTATTACTGCAAGAGTACACGTAGCTCAAAGCCTATTTCATGTATCAAATTCATTGCTAACGTGCCGACTGTCGACGCGATGCCTGTCACTGAGAAGCCGTTCATGCAGCTATGTACTCTAAACGCTCGTTCCTTAAAGAACAAGTCGGCAGAGTTTGTTGATTTTGTTTGCGAGAGTAAAGCTGATTTGATTGCCATAACTGAAACATGGCTTACCGACAATGATGTTGCTGCTAGAGCCCTAGCCACTCCTCTCGGATATTCTTCTGGATCAGCCACGCAGGACCCGCAAAGGAGGCGGCACACCACTTGTATTTAGAGACAGTCTGATTGTCAATAACATTGCAGCTGCCGAGACAGCTTCATTTGAATATTCAGAATGGAAAATTCAATCTGGACCTTTTCGACTACGACTTGCCATTATCTATAGACCGCCATACTCTTCTGAGCACCCAGTCTCCACTGCTGATACTCTTTTCATAACAGGAGACTTTAACATTCATGTTGATGCTGATAGCCCTGACACAAATAGACTTTTGAACTTGTTGGAATCAATGGGGCTGGAACAGCACGTAAAACAACCAACCCATGTACAAGGTCACACACTGGACTTAATGATTAATCGCCAAGCTGACAACATTATCTGTGGTTCACCACGCGTTGGTTGCCTTCTCTCTGATCATGCTGCAGTTACGTGTGAGCTTAAGGCCCCAAAACCTACATTTACTGTAAAGGAACTAAAATACCGGAAGCTAAAATCTATTGATCTACTGTCACTAAAGGCGGATATCTCTGCTTCAGACCTATGTCGTAACTCTCCCGATGATCTAAATTCACTAGTGAAATCCTACAACTCTTTCAAACTTGCTAGACCAGCATGATCCTCTCAATACCAAATCTATCACTGTAAGACCATGTGTGCCCTGGTTTGACGACAACATTAGAATGTCAAAGAGACAAAAACGGAAAGCGGGAAAAATTTGGAGGACAATAAAGTCTTTGTCCGATTATGCCACTTATAAAACTTACAAAAACCGCACAACGTACTTGATGAATGAAGCTAGGCGTAATTTTTACGCGAACTTTATCGCTACGAATAGCTGTGATCAAGGAAAACTGTTCAGAGCTACAAAACGACTATTAAAGCAAAACGAAGTTATCCGTTACCTGCTACCGGTCTGTGCTCGCTAACGATATCGGGCACTTCTTTGTTCAATAGATTATTGACATACAGACAACGCTCGGCAGCGGCAGCTTACAGCATGTGGAACTAACCGGAAACGACGCACCTGCGGTTTTATTTGAGGAGTTTTGTCGCCGGAACAAGTTAAAAATTATATAAACAATTCATCAAAAAAGACCTGCGCATTGGATCCAATGCCAACCCCATTAATTATCAATTGCATTGACGAGCTATTACCTGCTCTAACTAAGATGGTCAACTGTTCTTTAGATACAGCTACATTTTCTGAGGACTGGAAAGAAGCACTCGTGATACCCTTGTTGGAAAAACCGGGCCTTGACCTTGTTTTAAAAAATTACCGCCCAATCAGCAATCTCACCTATGTGTCTAAACTAATCAGCGTACAGGAAACAACACAGCACTGAAACGGCACTGTTAAAAGTTAAGAACGACATATTAATGAACACGAACAACCAGCAAGTTACTCTCCTTGTGCTTTTGGATCTCAGTGCTGCCTTCGATACTGTCGATCATGATATTTTACTCAAGAGCCTTCAGTCTAGGATTGGCATTACAAGAGCCTTCAATCCAAATTCTGCTGCCATCCAGGAACAGGCTGTCTCTGCGATGGAAACCTGTATAAAAGATATTCGTGACTGGATGCGTGCTGATCGGCTAATGTTGAACGACGACAAGACGGAATGACTCATCATAGGTACCCGGCAACAACTGTGCAAAGTGGACATTGATCATATCACTGTCGGGAGTTGTAACATTTCGCCAGTGTCCGTGACCAGAAACTTGGGTTGCTGGTTTGATTCGTGGCTAACGATGGAGACTCATGTTTCCAAACTCTGCAGTACTTCATTTTTCCATCTTCATAATATTAGAGGAATCCGAACGTTTTTTTCTACGGAATCAACAAAAATTCTAATTCACGCATTCATTACTAGTCGTGCTGATTGCTGCAATAGTTTACTTTATGGTCTGCCCCAGGTACAACTGAATAAGTTACAGCGAGTCCAAAATGCAGCTGCTCGGCTTATCTGCAATGTATCCAAGTTTGATCATATATCACCTGTTTTATATCATTTGCATTGGCTGCCAGTTTATTTCCATATAGAGTTTCAAATACTACTCATCACTTTTAAGGCATTACATTGTATGTCACCAGATTATATCAGGGAATTAGTCATATTAAAGAGACCTAATCGGTACAGTCTGCGCTCTGGTAACCAAATGTTAATTGAGCCACCAGCTGTAAAAACGTTGGCTACACTTGGTGATCGAGCTTTCTCATCAGCTGCCCCAAAATTATGGAATAAGCTACCTAGTCATATTCGATGTGAAAAGTTGCTGGAATCTTTTAAACGCCTAGTCAAAACTCATCTATTTAACATTGCATTTAACACATAGACATTATATTTTAGGTGTACTTTTGATTTGAGTTCTATTTTATTGAAAATGTTATATTATTGTCGTTTTTAGGATCTATATTTTACAATGTTGCAGTCCGCTATTTATAATCAGGAATTGTTATAGGATTGTCTCGTAACTCAAGTATCTATATTTTACAGTGTTGCAGTCCGCTGTTTTATAATCAGCCTATGTAATGCGCACGTGAACATATCTGCATGTAACGTGCGCAATATAAATCAATAAATATTATTATTATTATTACTATAAAAAAAATCTCGTTTTAAATAACGGGCACCTTAGTGTACACCCATTTGTGTAGCCAAAATAATGGAAGGCCTGTGTTTACTTTAATATGTTTTTATTTTCTTAAATTCTAAACTATATTGTAAAATATTGAATTTGCAAGCTGTTCTTGTTATTATTGTTGGTTGGAAGTTGAAAAGGAGATTTTTAGGTTATGTCCATTTGAAATTATTTAGTTTTATGCCTACAAAGGTAATACCCACAGCCTATCGCCCCTAGTTTTATGCCTCTCTTTTGTTCTACTATGGTTTAGTTCCTAAATTAGGCTTGGAAGTCTCCATCGCCATGATTGTGAAGGTTATTGCCTGTAAATGTGCAACTGGGTAGATTGATGTTGTTGGTTAGGAAATTTAGTAGCATTTTTCATGAATTTTTCAGGAAATATTACTTGTGCGTTGAGATACATATTTGTAGTCCTTGTCATACGGATTATGTATGAGTGTAGCATTATCCATCTGCAAACAGTTAAAGGTGGGAGTTAGACCACTAAACGCTCGTATGGCTGAAGTGACGGGACAGTATCCGAGGGCAAGCCTCTATTGCACAGCAGTCATTGCCTTCTGCACAGCCAGCTGTCGCAACGTTACACCGCACATTGCATTGCACAACTGTCACCTAATATGTCGGAAATTGCACTCTTGTCAAGCAGCACGGCAAGCTTACTGCTGCTATGCGGATAAGTCTAGTGAGTTGCAGAGAAGCCTTCCTCGTGGAGTCTAGACATGGAGGTCAGCAGTACTGCATAAGAGTCGCACCACAGGCGTGTTATCTCCCACTAGGTGTTGCAACCTGACTGATACTGTCTAACATCATGTGAATGCTACTGGCTGCATCGTGGCATCATGGATCCTATACAGACACCAGATCTCTGCAGATCATCGGTCTATAGGCCAGTGTGCGTGTATAGATAACTGCGTATGTACATGTAGATAAAAGTGCCAGCACATGTCAGCAGCATAGCAAGTTTTTTACGTCGTCGTCGTTGTTAGTAATGTGCGTAGGTTGTTTGCACATTGCAACGTGATTACATTTACTGGCCTTTGCAAAGCTGTGTATGTTAATTCTGTCTTTTAAGCACTCGTTACAAGTACTCGAAACAAGTACAGATTGAGGCATATACAGATAACTATAGATCAGATGTGATAGGTGTGTTATGATGTAAGAAGGAAACTGCCATGCAACGTTTCCCAGGGTTAATTTTTTAAAGTGTAATTTTGGATGTATATTCATGTATAATGCTACAGCACGAAATGGGAAAGCCGAGCTGGGAAAGTGGGCTTTTTATTGTTTTCAGTTTGATATGAACTATGCAACATTTTTTTCTATCAACTATTTATTTCAATTTGAAATAAGTTTAATGGACCACGTTTCCAGGAGTGCTAACAAATGTCATTAACATAATTCAAATTTGGCCAAAACGCCAAGTCTAATATAGCATTTGTACTATACGTAGAGCAGGTATCACATAAAGCATCAATCTGCCAATGCTTGCCCACTACTCACAGTATCTATCACGGTACTACGGATCTGACTATCTGTTTAGTAACTGATTCAACCTGGATTAGTGTAAAACATACGTGAAATCGCAAAACCGCATCACAGCAAGCACAGCGAGTCACATGCGGAGCAGTGGGTGCTGCCATGTTTTATCTACTGTATACGCTGTATATTTCGCGGTGGTTTAATTTTCGCAAATTTCGCGACTGCGTTCCCGACCGCGAAAATAACAACACGCGAACAATTCATACTGAATAATTCCTAATCCACCGACTGCGAAATTAACCGCTTGCGCAATTGTCCTTCAAGTCTGAATTCGCGAAAATATCTGTACGCGAAAAATATGGCGTATACAGTACTTGTGCCTCATCATGTCGCAAGGCCTTCCGTAGCAAAATATTCACACACTCGACATGCCATGCCATCAGAACTTTGCTGAAAATCGTATGGGTCAGTTGCTATTCAGAGGTTATTACTCCATACGGGTCAGTAGCAAAACGTTATTTCGACCCCCCCCCCCTCAGTATACGAATTATCAGTAAGTAGAATGCTAGCCACCCTATGCTTATGTGTTAAAGTCATAAACTGCTTTCATAGTAAGTAAGTGTACGTAATAAGAACGGTTTCGTTTTGGTGATGGATATGTGAATGTTGTTTCGCGTTGTAAGGTGTTATTCAATGCCCCTTTCCTTTCCAAGAGCTGCACTTGGTTATAATTTTCAAAAAGCCACTCATGCACAGCATCGGGAGTTAAGTTTAGGCCGCACTAGCCATACTGCCTCCCAATGTGAACTATCCATTCCTCTTATTTCTTGTTGTGTAAATTATGTTCATTTGCCTATGCCTCCTACTGCACACATAGCCTTTGCAGAAGTGTGATGACATCCTTGGTGTTCCAAATTTCTGTCCCTCAGATTTTGCGTGTGTTGGGTTAATTTTTCAATTTATAATGTTTTCCTTTATCTTTTTGCACTACGCAATGCCACCCTCTTACAGTGGAAGTGGGCGGTGTTGTGCTATATATCTGTAGGTGGGGGAACTAAACCTATTACTAATAATTCAGAGACTTTGCCAAATTGTATCCAATGTTTTTATTCATTCCGTTATTTCTTTCGCAGGATATTGTACTTTGGCCTGACTGTCGGCCATGTCATGCTCAATATGAGTGTTATGTCTGCATATATCATCTACAATGGCTTACTGGTTATACTGCAAATCTTGCATGTCATATGGTTCTACATGATATTACGCATTGCGTATTATGCCGTGGTGACTGGACAGGTAGGAGCACCTGCTTTGACATGATTGAAACGCTGCATACGACCATGCTGCTACCAGAAACATCTTCCTCTGTCCCTCCAGAAGACAGACGGTCACGTTTTTCTTCCAGGATACCCACCTTGTATATCCCTGAATGCCATCTGCGTATCAGGCATAACATTGGTATAAGCTCTAAAGCTAAAGAGGCAGTGTACTTGCATCAAATTTTGACCAAATTTAACGTGTACTGGACTGTGCAGTACAACGCTCTTTGACCAGATTGACACGTTGCTTCTTGTGATGCGAAGTCTGCTTTCCTGCATGTGTAACAAACAGTCTGGTTTCCCAAAGTGTTACCAGACATAACTCACCCACTCCTTTGCACTTTTCCGTAACCGATCTCTGTTCTAATCCGCGTGTGAATTAACAAATTCATGCAGTTATTACGTAGCGCTACGCGACTATAGTACAGTTGTCTATTACGAGTTGTTTAACTTCGTTGCTGGTGGCTTATCTCATCGCTATGGTTCTCGCTTATGTTGCTTTGCGAATGCTGCTTGAAGTCTGATACCTTACCTCGTAGTATTCAACTCCAAACTGCATCCTGCGAGACTGATCGCAACAAATGGAACCAGTTATTTATCTAGTTATTGGTAATGGTGTACCCTCGTATGAGGGTGTTTTTAGAAGATCCATGGTGATGTCTGTTTGACACAAGTGGATAGTGTGGATGACGTACTTGTTGGGGATAAAACGTGTTATTGGTTTGATATCCCGTATTCATGTCCACATCAGATTGTGCAGGCGTGCTAGCAAGAAGGTCAAAAGGAGAAATCTGCAGGTGTATGACCGCATGGTCTCGATGTTACGTCGAACAGGCGTGACTCGTGATTGATGTTGGTTTCACAATGGTGCACGCGACGAATGAATCCTGGCTTGAAATGCTCAGTAGGCAGCAGTTGCATGCTCTTAGCACAGGTGTGGACGCTGTTTGACAGCTTATGGCATGCTTTGGCCCGCTGTTGGAGATGCAAGCATTGGCGTGTGTTTCTTAGATGTCATTGTTACTCATGGTGATCGCTTCGGCGAACTATGTGCAGTCGGAAAGAACTTCGTCAGAGCAAAAGTCTTTGGGATTTCTGAACCTTTTGTAGACAACTTGATGTGCCCGTCCCGGTAAGACATGACAGCTGGCTCGGCGTCTGCTTTTTAATTTTCACCGTTTTTGAGTTTGTCGTTTTCGAGTTGTGCACTCTTACTTTATCTGTCATCTCTCTCTCTCTCCCTCTATCTCTATCTCTGTCATTCGTTCACGTTCATTCGTCCCGCTCCCAAGTAGTGTGTAAAGTGGCGGTGTCTGCCAGCTCCCAAGATTGTGACCAAGAGTCCAAGGTGTATATCGTAACGAGTTGTCTGGAGACGGATGATGCCTTTACATAGTTGGCAATGTTCAACTGTCCGGTATTTAGTAGATCCACCAGGAGCAATTATAGCTGGGTTACATACATTTTGAACATTAGTTTTAGGGTGCCCCTAGGACGGTAACTGATTACAATAGTTAAGTGTGCGTTCCACCGTGTGGATAACATCTGTCCTTCTCATATGATGTGGCTGACGCATTGGCACCAGCAGAGGTGTGCCCTACTTGCCTGTGCATGACCAGTCTACATGCCAGTGCATGCAGTGAGTGCCCGCGCCTCGTCCTTACCAGTCCTGCAGCCAAGGGCGCGTTGCCACTGCTATGGCGCGGTTTGCTGTCTAGCTGCTTTCCTGCGGCACCGCGCCGTACGTACGCCGAGTGCGCGTGCGCGTGGGTGGTGGTGGGTAAGTAGTCGCGGGGATGAGACGCTGCCCTGCCGGCCCTACCCTGCGCATCTCCCTCTGCCCGTTTCGTTTTGTTGTGATCGCATCGATCGTTAACAGTTTTGTTTTGCAGCCGACTGCTGGCACCACCGGCAAAGTCCGAATAACCGATGCCTCCTTTTCCCCACAGGGTTTTACGCACAGTCATGTATGATGCTCACGTCATCATTGGAGAATTCAAATCAAGAATGCTATTCCTCGCTCTCCTGTATCTCCTGCAAATTCTTCACTTAATCTGGTTCTATATGCTATGCCAAGTTGCTTGTAAAGCCATACAGGAAGGCCAGGTATGTAAACGATGAGCTAGCTGCACACTGGGTCGGCACAGTCTGTCCTTACTCAAACAACTGTTAGGCAATCCCGTTTGAAAGTCGTAGGATACAGGGCAATAGAGAAGCGAGAAATTGGAACGAGAGATGTGCAAAGAGGGAAGGATAGGGCATGTTATATATAGAGAGACAGAGATAGTGAAAAGTAAATAGAGATGTAAGTGAATACGATGATGCAGATGAAAGAAAAAGCGGGGAGATGCAGAAACAAGAGCAAGTGTGGAGCAGGAGGGAGAGAGATATGTATAGCTATGGAGCATGGGAAGGAAAGAAAGGGAAAGAAAGTAGGAAGCAGACACGATCCAAAATCTTTATTGGCACCTTGCGTGCGGCAGCCCTTTGGCTTCATTTCAGCCAAACTAAAACTAATGCCAGTTGTGGGTAAAGGCAGAGTGGGCAAGCCAGTGTTCGTGTCACTGCAGCTGCTTCTCTTGTGCCGTGCTGCCCTTTAGTGGTGCTGTAATAGCCCCACCTCCATCCTTCATTATGCGTCTGCAAAATGCCCTCTAACGATGCCGTACTAACCCTACCTGCATTGAACACTTGCTATTGGTGCATAGTGTAGCAACCTGCTGCTTCGTCCACGTCTAGGCCGCGTTTGAAGTAGTATCTTTTTGCCTGGTGATTGGCTATTTATGTGACTGATTTGCCCTTGAAATTTAGTATAGAGCGAACGAATTTCGGAACTCTACCTCTGACGTAGTCTTCCCAGTGACATACTCAGGACCAACTGTCGCAACGTTGGCCGTGCCGTGTAATTTTATCAGGCAGGCAAATTCATGAGTGGCTGGTGGGCCAGTGAGCTTCGTGCATGTGTTGTGCTGCTACCCTGTGCTACCACACCCTTTTGTACTCTCGCTCACACACATGATGTTCTCCTACTCCGTGTTATCATACCCTTCTAACTCCTGGTAACCTGTTTAACCAGTGTAGTATTCTTATAATCTGCACTGCCAACCTATTCTTGACACTTACTTGCACTGTGAGGTTATTCTACCCTGTGTACCATATTAATCTACTTTCCGTTCTCATTCGTCTTCACTCTGTGCCACACCTTTCTGCCTCCTACTTGCATGTGCTGCCGTTCTGTCCTGTTCTACCACATCCTTATTTCTCACACGTGGCATTCTTCTGCCCTGTGCTACAACACCCTTCCACCTCTCGCTCACATGTTGCGTTTTTCTGCCCTGTCGTCGCCGCGATGGCGTGCGCACTCGCCCTGTGTGCCTGTTGTGCCAGCAGGCATAAAGAGGGCGCCTGTGGATGTGGGGGCCGTCGTGTTCTGGCGTGCACGTCGGGTGCCCGGGTATTGGCTGGCCACCCAAGTTTGTTACCGGTTTCTAACCGTGGCTGGACGGTTGCAGCGAGTGGTGACCAGAAATCGGTTACGTCCCTCTCCGTCCACTCCTCGTCGTGGTACTCGCGATCGACTGCCCTAGAAATGTACTTGCTGAGGCGTCTGCGGTCAGTTTGCTTTCCTAATTTTGACTGTGTCTATTATGCCTGGTCAGCGTTTTCCAGCAGCCTTAAGTTATGTTCCGGTAGCAACACGGTCGTAGCAGCACAATGCATGATTTGTAGCCTGTTTTCGGAGAAAGTGAAACGCGTTTGACTAAACCTTTCGGTGTTTCGGATTTCGTTTTAAAATTTATACATTTTTCTTTTAATATGTTATTAGTGTTATGAACATAATTAATAAACTAGTTTAATATATACAATAACAGTTCACATACTGTTAAAATAAGAACGTCATTGCTAAATATCTAATTAAGTAGGTGTGTAATCATTTAGCCTGCATTTTCATTATTGAAATGAAAACTAATCATGCCGTATTTTAGGTTCGAGGCGATTGATCAAAATTGCATGATATGTTGTGAACAATATAGTATTCATTAATCGTGGTGCTTGACACTCCATTTCACTATCTCATTTGTTGTTATCTGGGTGTAACAAAAAAGAACTTGTGAGGAAATTGCAGTTATTATACTCTGTTATTTCTTGCACACTGTGATCATGCCTGTGTGTGTTTTACACAATAATTCTAATCTAATGAATGTGTTTTCGCACTGTTCTTGCGGACGCACAGGTTCAGAAGGATGGAAGGAGTGATTCGGAGTCGGATGGTGATGTTCACGACAGCTCAGGGGAACAAGAGGCCACCGCAAAGCTTACGGCGAAAAAGTTTAACAATCACGAGGCAAAACACAAAGGCTGAGCTAGTCCCGCGCGGTTCAGGGAAGCATCCCCGTTCAGCCTGTGAGACGGTCTCCCACACACCTGGATGGGTGAGGCCGCTCATGACTGGCTGTCCATGGTCAATTCACAGCTAACCAGAATTATTCCTGGCAAGTTTGCTTATGTGATTTCATTACAGCGAGCGGGCCAGTTCTGGACAGCATACTGGCGTTGCATATGTTCAGTTTGGCTAGATTAATTGTAGCCAGTTTGATTCACGCATGAGCAATGGCTTATGAGCATTTGTAAATTTTGTTTTGTGTGCAAGAATGAAAATCGGTGAACTGCATTCAATCTGCTCTATTTTCGTATGCAGGCCTAAATCGATAGGGAAGCAACACATTGGAAGTGTGTTGGGAATGCTGTATAAACTTCCACCACACATATGATATGTCTGATTCATCTGAATGCTGGTATTGAACTCCATTGGCATTGGCACAATCAGTGAGGTGGCGTGCGAAATTGCTCTCTGGTCGGCACATGTTTTTGGTTGGACAGATCGTAGCTTTCTTGTAAATAAATGCATTTTTGTGCAGGTGCTTGGGAGCTACAAGTGCCTGTACAGTAGCCGTGATTTTTCATTGATGCTTGTTTGTAATATTAATGCAGGTTCACGCGTGTAGCGGCACGGCAGGTTACATTGTATTTGCCACGCTTTGTTATCCACCAGAAACAGGTAATTCGATCGTGTAATTTATTAGAACTTTATTGGAGCGCGTAGAGTAACAACAATTGAGCAAACACCTAAACAATATCGTTTACCGCGAATATCGGGGAAGCGCACAACACACTTCCTTGTTAGAGTGTATATTTGTATAGTAGATACATTGTATGCTAACTTAATGCTGCAAATGTGCGCACAGTATATCGCTCGTGGTAATGTTATATTGCGTGTCCCACACGACCTTGTAAATGCAACAACCGCCGAACACGGCACAGTTGATCGGACGGACAACATTATTTATCTGTGTATTTAATCTCTCGCCGTTATGAAATCTGATACAACTCGGTATGGGCATCGGTGAGTGAAGTGATGAGAGGTAGATGGTGTGAGCATGTCGCTCTCGTCTTGCTCACAGCGGTGCGTACGTCAGCATCACGATTGCCTACTAGTCATGAGCAGGGGTAGGAGGGTGGAACAACGCGGTTGTTTAATGTTATGGTGTTGTTTCGGATAAATTCGTCGATGATAAGTGCGGATAAACGCCGCGATGCAAACGCGGTCCTGTCGCATCAACAACTGCTGAGAGGCGTTCGTCTGAAGAGTCGTTCATCATTCTGACCTGGCCTAACTAGTAAGAAATACGTTGACCCCCTAATCACGAACACTCGTGGGGAGTCTGCCGAGTCGCGTCAAACTACACGTGCAATTATATGGAAGCCTATCCGTGATCTTAGTCCTGCACGTGAAACTGCTTCTCTCCATAACCCATGGTCATGAGAGCCAGCCGATCAAAAACTGTATAATGCATACTACTACTTAGTTGTGTCGTGTGAACAAGCATGCTCTTATTCTACATCATCGCCTTCAGCTACTCTGTGTACCAGCCAGTCTGTACAAATGCATGCGCGAGTGTTTGCGCGGCCTTAAACCAACAGTGTTGCTACAATATTAGTAGCAGTGGTGTTGATGTTTAGGTAGTGCTTTATTCACATCTAGCCATTGGAGCACTTTTAAATATACACTTCCCACATACTCTATATGATTGGTCTAGTTTCTTCGGTTGTGTCCGTTACTGATGCGCATTGTAAGGTAATCGTAAACGCAACAAGCCGATCTCTTTGTTGCAGACGGAGTGCCCTGTAACCCGTATAACGTTCCCAGTTTCTTCTTAGCTCATTGCTTGGCAGGTAATCTGTCCACATTTAAGACTCATTAGCGTACCGCGGCTATAGACTTCACGTAAATGCCGTACAGGTTATCACACATGTTGGCTAACGATTTAATTAATTGTGTGACAGTTAGTAGGGGCATATTTTGCGTTTACCTGTGTGCTGTAGGGTTGCCAGCATGCCTATAGAGATTATCTCTGTATTAAATTGTTTGTGTCTGTACGTGCCAGTGTAAATCCACTCTTAGCAGATGTCAACAACTAACTGCTATATCAATAATAATGGTCTGTGGATGTAATTTTGTCAATATGTATTTTCTGAAATATAAATTGATGATATAAAGCTTCTTAAAATGTCGTCTTGTTATGTTATTGATGAGTGTAATATGTGCAAATTACGAAATCAAAGGTTTCGGGGTGATTAGATTGAAAACACAAACAATATAATGCACATTTCCAGTAATGGTTTTCTTTATTCTAAACCTCACCAAATATCTCTCATCCACGAATAATTGTTAAAAAAAAATTAACTTTGAAACAAATGTGTAGCTATTTCTAATAGAACGTACATTGCGACTAACGTTATTATGATCAATGAAATATAGACAACAATAAAAATGGTAGTATTACTATTTCAATGTTTTTCTTGCGCAAATATCTAATGATCACCGCAATAGGCCGGTCGGGAATTCAGCAAGGAAATTAGCGAGCTGGTCGGCGGACTCCATAAATTCTTTCAATCCTCTATCTGCACGGGAATGGTACGCTCTTCCCTGATCACCAGCACACCATGCTCCATGCTCGTGCTCAGGCTCGTAGCTTTCACTCCCTCCGGGATGGGATACTCACGCTCCAGCTCCACGTGTTGGCCCTCCTCGTCCAGGATACCGTGTATCTTCAGCATGCCTCCAGCGGTTACCTTTACCGTCACGTTCTCCGGCCGCATGCCGAACGTGAAGACTTGAATGGAGAACGGACGCGTGCATGACTTTGTTTCCTCGTCATTCTCGTTCGGCGGCTCGTCCTTGGTGAAGTCCCAGCTCATTGTCCCACGGCTACCGTCGAATACATAGCGGCGCACATGTTGTTTCGAGCCGCGTGGACATGCGCCATACGGCGGCGGTGCCATCGGTCCATTCCTTCTCCCGTGGTCTGTTTCCGAATATCCTCCCTGCATGTACGCCGATTGACCGGGGTGCGTATGTCTCCAGTGTTCGCCGAAGGCAGGTGGGAAAGGAGGCATGGCGTTCCATTCACCGGCGTGCGGGTGTCCCCAGTGCTCGCCGGAGGCAGGTGGGAAAAGATGCATCGCATTCCATGGACCAGGATGCGGAGGATGTGGATGTCCCCAGAGCTTACCACGGGCACTGGATGTGGAGCGCTGCTTGGGTGGTGGTGGCGGTGGCGGTAGCGTCGTGCATGCGCCACAGCAGCTGCCCTCGCCACTCCCTACGTTCATGCCAAACATTCTTACCTGTAGTTCTCCGACGGAAAAGTGCGATAGTGTCTTGTTTTCGTTGCTGAATCGCCTAGGAGCGTGTTCGCCGTCTTGCTCTTTTCTGCTTGTTATTTTCCTTGGATATCTGTTCTTCTTTGTAACGTATAAGATGCGCACAGCTCACGTCTTCACGCGCACGTAGAGAAATCTATCAGATTGCTGAATGAATTAGAGCAGCACGCCGTATAGCTTATATACCTGCGCTTCTGAACGTCGAAGCAACGTTTTCGGTGACCGTGTCTTGTCAACGTTTTCTTAGCAGCTGACGCAACTCTATGCGATTCGTCATAGATCAGCTACGCTACATTTACGCTGTCAGCGTCAGCATTCACTTGCGTCGTGTGCGTTCTATAAATAGACGATGAGTCACCGTGCATCGTCCAACAGACGTTTTTCCTACGTAGCGATAACGCGTATGATCCGTATGTGAACACCGTGTAAATAAACAGATGTATTATCAAGAGTAGATAATAACATTAATGACAATGTGTTATTATCTACTCTTGGTATTATCATGCGTGCGCGCGTGTATGCGTGCGCGCGTGTATGCGTTTCTGCGCGCATGTATGTGTACGCGCGTGTATGCGTGCGCGCGTGTATGCGTTTATGCGCGCGTGTATGTGTACGCGCGTGTATGTGTGCGCGCGTGTATGCGCGCGCGCCCGTGACGAGTAGAACCGTGTAAAAGGCCACACGTTCACAAGAAAGATGCTAGTAGTAGCGTTGTATTAACCAGGATCAGTTTCTCATTGTTGTATTTAATTTGCCGTTGTTCACGTTGCCACGTTGGTTCGTTTTGTGTTGACGTTTCAACATGTCGCTCGAAAAACTGACTACGTAGTAATAAAAGCCGCTGTTGCAAACCCGTCCTTGGAATCACGAACACGGGACGTGGTGAGCGATCGATAATATTATAGAGCACGTGCTATATACGTTTCAGGTACGATTTCGCATGTATATTATGACGAACTAGGTCGAACGTTGGAGAAACGTTTACAGTCGGTCGCTCATGGCTTAGAACAACGTCGGCTGTACGTCGGCTGTACGTCGGCAGAACGTTGCTGCGTCGTTTTCAACCCTGTAAGTATATAAAGCAGCTGCTTTGCGGCTGGACGCACTAGTGCGTGTTTCATGACGATAGCTATACGCATTCGGTAGGCAAACAGGTAATAGCGGTAAAGGCAATACGAGCTGCACGTACGAAAACTCGTTTACTGTAGGGAGTGTATCGCACGCATATCGAGTGAATCTAAATTATAGTACAATATTTCCGAGGTGCATATCACATCCATACGACGCACGTACACGAGTCGATCACCACGGTTGACGCCACGGGGACAGGAGGACAGTAGGAGTGACATTGCGACGAGCGTGTAAATGAGACACGGACGACAATCGAATCGGTCACCAGCCGCTGACGAACGCGTGCCTTCTTCCGCCATGTTACCGGGTAACTGTCACCCTCCTTTTCACCTGCGCGTGCATCACCGCATTCACGCCGGAGCGCCGTGGGGACCCGGCCCGCGGTGCGGTCATCGCCACAAACACGAGAGGCGCCGTCACGGAGCCGTGTGCGGTCACCTAGCTCATCGAGGTGGTGGCGAGCGCAAGTGCGGCAGTAGTGATGCTCGCTCCATCCCGCTACCGTTCGGACACAGTCGCGGCTCCATGAGGTGGGACTTCATCAAGGAGGTGCCGCAGCGGCCAGAGAGAGGGGAGGAAAACCGGGAGAAGGACGACGAAGAGGAGGAGAAGAGAGAAAAGAGAAAGAATAAAGAGCGCCGAAAGAAACACGGGAGGAAAAGGAGAAGTAGTAGCAGCAGTAGTAGCAGTAGCAGCAGCAGCAGCAGCAGCAGTAGTAGTGACAGTGACAGTAGGAAAAAGAGGCGTAGGGGCAAGATAGGCGAAGGTCTTCGATCGACTCGCCCGTTTTGCATTCGACTCTTCACGTTCGGCATGCGGTCGGAGAACGTGACGGTAAAGGTGACCGCTGAAGGCATGCTGAAGATACACGGTATCCTGGACGAGGAGGGCCAACACCTGGAGCTGGAGCGTGAGTATCCCATCCCGGAGGGAGTGCAAGCTACGAGTCTGAGCACGAGCATGGAGCATGGTGTGCTGGTGATCAGGGAGCAGCGTACCATTCCCGTGCAGATAGAGGCTTGCGTGCCCGTAATAGAGCAAATGGGCGATCTCGTTGATTGAATGTCATATACAGTAACACGGAGCGAGCGCGAGTTTCTATAAATGTTTAATATTTTTATTATAGACGTAATTAATATTATCGTTAATATCAGACGAATATTGAATAGTAAATGTACTTATGTTGTGTTTACCTAAATTATTATACGCAGTTTCAATGGAGTTTATGTGCCGTATATAGACGTAGGCCCTATATGGCACATAAATAAATAAACAGTTGTATATACGTGAACCGATATCTCTCGCTTATATGTGTGTTATATATATGTATGATTCTTTCTACTGCATGCGTTTATTATTAATTACCGCAAAATTATACAGAAGCTGTTGAATGGCAAGTAACGGTCAAATTACCTAATTATTAGCTTTTACAGTTTACACGCACTCGCGTATATCCTAATCTTGGCTAAAAGTAAATTAATAATTCTCTACATGGAGTAATTTAAAGACTCCAGGAAACAAGGTGGTGGACGATTCTATTTGTTTCCACGACATGCACAACAGGTTCTATGCCTTATTCGCCGGTCATGCTATATTATTTGCAAATAGAAAAAGTCTCTAGTCAGATTATCGAACCACTATATTCATGCTGAGCGTATATAGCATGCGTGACGGAAGATCCTGCTGGAGTAGCGCTAATGTTGCATTAAATGTTATTATAATTGTTAGTTCACTGTCAACTGTGGACCACCTCTCTTATTTAGGTAAATATTACCATATCTCATATCTTATTAATTAAATAATTAATTTAATTAATTATAAAAGATACTAAAACAGGCCGAACACACAAAAGATTTAACATTCCATAGCATAATTCCACGTTGACTTTAATGAATTAATGTATAGAGAGGGTGGTAACGAACACAACCAAAACAGGTCAGGCGGGAAAATCACGAAATCGTTTTCGCGCTTACGAAATAAAATGCTTGCAACTATTTTACGGCTCGGGCTATAGCTGCCTTCACAACAACCCCTGAATTATGCGAGTGAGAGCTTGATAGTTTGATTCCATTTGCCGTCTGACGCCTTACGTTTCTTTCTCAAGTCTATTCTGCATATGTATGTTATGCCTATAATATTATCAGGGAATTCAGGAGTGAATAATAAATAGATCCTTAGATAATCAAAATACGATCATTTCCCTCTGATATTATCACAATAAATGCAACTTTCGTTTAAAAGCACATTCCACATGTATGGAGTTGTTCACAAGCCGCAATAGGGCCTACTAGGTACGCTCCTTGCAGTCACATCCCGTTTTTTACCAACGTCTTCGATGCCGCCGGCCATGCTTTGAAGCATACTTATGATAAGTATAACAAGCGGAAATGGGAGGCATCTGTCTCACTACGCACGCTTACGCACGCACGTCAACGCACCGCACGCTCGCGCGCTGCGCTAGCGCACATCACACACTCCCAGCTCTACATTTCGCTCACCACACAATCACACACACCACACCACACAGCACTAACACCACACACATCATCAGATTCTCGCCCCAGCTCTAGCGGGCGTCTATCGCACACAGATGGGTCGTCACAGACACACATGCACCCACTCACACCAAATTGACCGATCACTTGCTCGCTGTTTGTGATCTGCTCCGAGTTATACCGCTGCAAGGCAGTGATGATAACACCTGTGTTACTGT